TTTGCCTTTAAGTGATTTTCATTGGTTTTTAAAATGTTTTTGTTACTTTGGTAACATAAATAAACATTATTTAAGATTATGGTACATGTAGACAAAGCTCATTCTGCTTCAACAAAAATAACCCTTCAAGGTTAAACTTTTACTATCTTGATGTCCTTAAAACATGGTGACAGTCTGCTTTTACATCAGGAAATTAAAAATAAATAAACAGCACCTAAACATCAAAGATTCAGGGCTATGGGAAATCCAAGATGGCCCCTTAGCTTTTCCCGGCTCCCTGATAGACCTCATTTTTATTTGATGGGTTAAAGCCTTACCTGCATACAGTGTTAATGCCCTCACAATGAGTTCTCCAAAAAAAAAAAAAGAAGAAAGAAAAGAAAAAAATCATGTTTCATTAAATATTAAGTTCTAGTTTTGTTAATTAAGGTCTGTGCTACTAAGACACACTTCTGAGAGTTCCTTGTTATGTTATATTGCTAAAAGGTTTAATTAAATTATTTAAAAAGACACTCTTAAGATTGTTTCTAAATCTTACCTCAGCAACCAGTCTTTGGATAAAGGTCAGATGCTCCATGATGTACAACCAGGAGATTAACACTTGACTATAATCATTTAACTGAGACAGGTGACCTGGGCTATACCGGGCTATACCCAATGAAAGTTCTTGACTTAAATTCTTGCTTGTGACCTTACTAATAACTGCTAGCTATAGTATTTTCTATGTAGCTTGTTTCAGAAGATTATTTCTTATGTTACCAAATGTGTCACAGAGCCTGTGATAAAATGCTGATATGCAGTTCCATATGAGATCAATAATTGTAATAATGTAAACTTAGATATGGGAAGAAACAGCAAGAGGGAACATTTTCCTGGACCAAGCGGCTAGTAAGACAGGTATGGTCCAGAGACTTTTGCTACTTACAAGTCCTGGTCTAGTGACAACACATTGAGTGGCCTGTCAATGGAATCTTTGTTAGACCTGGGAATGAGCCTTCCCAGCACCACGGGACACAATGACCATGAAATGCCCCCCAAACATGGTCAAATATGACTATGAAGTCAAATATGACTATGACAATCTTAAGAGTGTCTTTTTTTAATAATTTAATTAAACCTTTTAGCAATATAACATAAGAAGGAACAATCTCAGAAGTGAGTTTTAGTAGCACAGACCTTAATTAAGAAAACCGGAACTTAATATTTAATGAAACATGACTTTTTTCTTTTCTTTCTTTTTTTTTTTTTTTTTTGGAGAACTCATTGTGAAGGCATTAACACTGTACACAGGTAAGGCTTTAACCCATCAAATAAAAATGACTATCAACTGGAAGTTGGCCCTTGCCAGCTGCCTCTACAAAGATTAAATCATGACTACTACAAGATGCTGATCTTCAACACCCCCTTGAAAAGAGTTAAGGGTGGAGACAAAAAATAAGGCACTCTGAGCTCTGGGAAAAACCCACAGAAACAGGCCTTCAGATAGCCAGATGTTTTCAGGTAAAGATTTTTATGAGTCCAAATTCTTGCATCTTCTCACACCTAGAGAAACACTAATGTCACGGACCAATGTCTGGACCTGGTTCTCCTAGTTGTGCCTCGGCAGCTTTTCTACTTCTATTAATCTTTGGGCCATATATCTTTAACTTTCTTGTTAAGTTTGTTTCTCCAAGTAGAACTACGACAAGACTATCCCCCGGCCAACGCCCAGACAACGCTAGAACAAGCTGCCTTAGTCTGTGGACTCACATCGCCCTCTGTAAATGCACCCCGAGGACCCAGGCTATTCTCCCTTTGAAATCTTATACAGGAGATCACCCCCAGTGATGAAAAAGCTCAAGGGAGACGACCAAGTAGCTGACCTGGAGCTATAGGCCCTGGGAAATTCTTCTGTCATATCGCCCAAGAAATCTGAGAAAGGACACCCATTCCACTGGGCAATTGGGTTCATCCCTATCAGCCAGGAGATGAGGTATGGGTTAAAGACTGGAAAAAGGAACCACTTTAGCCAGTTTGGACAGGCCCTCACATGGTCATCCTGCCAACCCCTACTACTGTTAAAGTTATAGGTTTCATCCCTTGGATCCACCACACCAGAGTCAAGAAGGCAGCAGCTTCCTATAATGAGGACACCTTGAAAGCAGTTCAGGACCCCAAAAACATCCTCAAGGTCTGTTTCCAAAAACAATGACCCTCACCCACGAAGAATGCTGAGCCTTGCTCCAGCCACACTTCAGCAGCTGGCTGGTCAGCACACGACAGAAGCTTGAGGATCTGGCTATCAAAATATCAATGGATTTTCATTGTCAAGCCTGGACTCTATCCCTGATTCCTATTATTTTTGTGCTCTTCACAACAGGACTAGTTTCAGTCACACCCCAGGACTGGGGTTTGGGTCAGAAGCTGCAGTTAACTGTCTGTTATCTCACTGTAATGGGAAGCCTCATGCTTATTAGAAGTCTCTTACAATTGTTTCTCCCTACAAACTAAACTGCTCCACAATATAACTGACCTCCCTTCACGATAGGCTCAGTTGCTAGAGCCATGACAACCCAAAGATGGGGAGAAACCCTTTTGCTAATCTTCAGTTACCTGTTATGTGCAGGCTGCTTTGCAGCCTTTTGGTGTCCCTTGCTGTAACAGATGGTGCTGCCCCCATCAAGGCCTTTTCTTTCTTTGTGGGACAGATGCTTACTTGTGTCTACCTGTCAATTAGATGGGTATCTGCACCTTAGCTTTCCTCACTCCCCAGATGAATATTGGCCCTAACAACCAGACTCTCACCATACCTCTGGCAGCACATACAAGGTCAAAAAGAGCCATCCAGTTTATACCCCTAATAGCAGGTCTGGGAATCATGGCTGGGATAGGTATGGGGATAGGAGGAATTGCTTCACCAAACATCATTTACCATACACTATCCAAAGACTTCACAGACGACATTGAGAGAGTGGCCAAATCTTTAGTGGCCTTACCTGACCAACTAGATGCCCTGGCTGGGGTGGTTTTGCAAAATAGGAGAGGTCTAGACCTACTGACAGCTGAAAAGGAAGGACTCTGCCTCTTCTTGAATGAAGAATGCTACTTTTATATAAACCAGTCAGAAATAGTCAGGAACATGGCCGAACAGCTAAGGGAACAAATCATAAAAGGAGAGAAAAACTAGCTTATTCCTGGGGTAATTGGAGCAATATCTGGAGTTGACCATCATGGCTTCTCCCTTTAACAGGTCCTCACTTCATGCTTTTTTGCAGCACTCTTGTTTGGCCCTTGTATTCTCAATGCTATTACCCAGTTCATAACCTCTTGGATTGAATCCACAAAGTTACAAACGGTAATAGTTCAATACAGCCCCATAAACGATGGGGAGCTCTGAATGTCCTACCAAAAACATGAGATGATGCTTTCTACAACGAGGGATAGAAGCATCAAGAAGGGGGAATGAAGAGGAAAAGTTAAATTTTTACAGCACCTCCTTCTCCTTCTGCCTCTGTAACTCAGCTTGCCCCTTGCAAAGTCTAGATCACATAGGTCCCATAGCGTCAGAAAGTGAAGACTTGCAATGCTAGGAAGTGGAGTTTATCTCACTCACCCTTGTCCTGCTCTTTGCAATCACCCAGCCCCTGAAAACCTGCTTAATCATGCCTGTCCAGGTCAGGAATCCCCCTCCCCATCTTGACCACTCTTCTGACCCATGAGAAACCCCTTAGTTTAAACCAGCCTATTAACAGCTAGTGTTGCCCACTACAGCCTATCTATAAAAACTCTGAAATCCCTTTGTTTGAGGCTCAGAGCTTGGAGTGTTAACTCCTCTGGGCCCGCTGGTGTAATAAACATTTCTCCAACCCTCCAAGTGTCATGCTTGGTTTCCCGAGTACTGGTTTCTGCAACATTGTAACTAAATGTCTTCAGCTATAAACCCTGAGACTGAGAAGACTGTGTGCCAACCCAAATTCACTCATGTCTCATTTGGAACCTTTCGAGTGTATTTACACTCAGGCAGAAAAACCAGGCGTCTACTTGATCCTGATCAAAGTGCACTTTATCTTTTGCAACCAGGAGATTCATCTGCAAATGAAAAGGAACTTCTAATGTATATGTCCTATTTCAAATTTTCTTCTCACCCATAAGACATCATCGAGGGGTCTGGTTGCTGCCACCACCCAGTCTCATCACGATCCCCTCCCACAGAAGGAACCCAGCTTCCCAAAGCCCCAAACCGCCCTGGCTCAGGAACCAGCACTCGAGGGCTCCTCCTAGAACCCCACTGTCCCTCCACGTGTTGCCTTGTTCTGTGGGACTAGGGGATGTCTCTCCACCTTCCTCATGTGACTGCAGCTCTGAGATCATCACTCCAGGTGTGGGGGTGCCCTGCTTTTCCCACTGTTAGCATGGCCTGTCACAGAAATCAGGCTCCGTGAAGTTCTGTGGAATAAATGAACCAGGGAGAAGGGCCTTATTTAGTCAGATCAGTTTTCTCCTACTTTCTTAAATAATAACCGGGAAAAATCAAATAAACTGAGATAGCTTAACAGTATAAAATGACAGATAAAAAGTATAAGAAGAAGACTTCGCTATAATCACATTTTATTTTCTAATTCTTTCACCAAGTACATTACTGCTAAGTAAGTTCACATTTCCAAAACAGTTATAATTCATTCTCATGTTACCATGGTCAGGGTCACAAAATAAATGGGAGAGTTCCCAAACTCTTTTAAAAAACAGCTAGACTCTTGTCCTTAAACTGGGTAAGCACAAATACATGTGTGATCAATGTCATTCACAAAGTTAGATACTGAAGTTTATTAAGCCTTAAGCTGAAATACATATTTGAAAAATTCCTAAAGAAAACAGAGATCAATCTGCATGTCATCGCAGAGAGCAGGAACCTAAAAATGCTACACTTGGTTCCCCAAGTGGTCCAGGCCATCACTCCTGAGAAGGCTGACTACTCCCTCTTCAATCACAGAGGGACAGATCAGCCTGGCTGCTGCTCTGGCTCAGGGTCCCCCTACCTCCTCCCTCACATCCTCTGCAGAAGGGAGTGGGAAGGACCTAAAAGCCCTTTGGTTGACCTTGAGCAGATACTCCGTGAATTTCTCCTTGCTGGTCTCCGCAAAGGCCCGGGGACCCCACAGGAACTCGTAGCGAGCAGGGGTGCTGTCAGGCACCTGCCGGTACTCCAGGTATCCATCCCGCACCCACACTTGGGTCAGTAGCTCCCTGGGCTCCCCAAAGATGGAGTGCTCCCTCCCAACATACACCCCCATCTTGTTGAGTGCTCCCCAGATCTCCTCCTCAGGGCCACGATCCCTATTCTGGAGGATCACGCTGAGGACCACCACCAGGAGGCCGGCCTTGGGCAGGCCCTGCCCACCTCTCTGCATTGCATCACAGGTGAGGCCCAGGGTGGGAACCATGATGTAGATGTGCTTCCTGCGGTCTACCTCCTTCACATCCACCCCAAAGACCAGCAGAACGCACTCAACCGCTTGGCGGAAAACCACCGGGTAGTGCTCCTGGTTATCCCTGAGGACTTCATTCAGCAATTCGGCATCGGAAGTTGGCTCCTTGGTTCGATACTTGCGGAGCAGGAACTTCACCATGTTAGCCACCATTTTATTCAGAGCTTCCTGGGGCAAGGCCTCCTCAGTGGCAGACGAGGAAACTGGGGGGGAGGAGGCCGAGGGGGGCGCAGCCTCCCCCCCCTCAGCCCCCAAGAGCTGTGCCTCCTCTGGGCCCTGGGACTCGCCTGGGTCCTGAAGGTCTTCCTTGGGCTTGCTCAGCTCACTCATCTCGACCACGAGCACGATGCCTGGGATCAAACCACAGATAGGAGGCAGGGGACATTGTGGACCATGGGCCTCAGCTAAGAAGTACACCCTGGGTGGTCGACACAGGCCACTAAGAAGTCTCCTCTTGAGAGGTGCTCTCGGCCTCACAGGGGCCCGCCTCCTGGGTGGTCTGACCCCTGGCTACCCGCAGGAGGAGGGCAGTGGCTCCCCTGCATGCAGCCAGCACAGCCAGAGGTTCTGGGGCTGACACAGTGGGGGGATTCGGGCTTTGCGGGGTTCCCTCTGTTTTGGGGTGGGGAACCCCTCGTGCTCATTCAGGGCACCCTCCTCACCTTGATTCCTGGTACTGCCTGGACCTTCTCTGTTCTCTGACCTCTGGACACAGGCCTCAGACCTCTGCCTTTGCCTCCTGGTTCCTGGAGCCCCTGTGAGAAAAATGGAGGGGGCCCCTCGGGGGTAGATTCTCCACAGACCTGAACTCTGAGTTTCCCCCCCACAAGCTGTGGGGGAAGTGGTCCTCTTGTCGCTCCCTTGTAGTGCCCACCTTTCCGCTGCCACGGCCTGGACCCTGCCCTTTGCGGGCCTGCAGAGTAACTCGGAACAAGATCCGAGTCTGAAGAGAAAGCACTAAGGGGCCCCACATGTGGTCACAGCTGCCCAGGGCCTCCCGTGGGTCCTACTTAGGCTGGGGAGATGCTTCGTCCTCACCTCACGTCCAGCCTAGACTCCCAGCACTGACCACAAGAGTGGGTTCGGCTCTGTCCATGGAGTCCACCCTCTGTGGATCTGAAGCCTCCACCCTCCGCCTGAACACCTCATCTCCCGAGGCCCCTAAGCCAGAGGTCGACAAACTGCTCATCCTGTTCAACCCGCTCTGGGACCTCTAAGACCCCCATCAAAGGCAAGGATCCCTCTCTGTGTTGGGGTCTAACTGCCTCAGTCCTTCCCCGCCTGGAGCCTAGATTCCAGGCAGGACCTGGAACAGGCCCGTCCTCCATTTTGAGGCCCCGCCACTCTCACCAGGTCCCCCGTCTCTCTGAGACCTGATGTCAGGAAATGCAGCGCGAGGTCGTCCTGCCTGGGGACTACCAGGGTCCCCTCTGTTCTGGGGTCCGGCTCCCCTCACTCCTCCCTCAGGGTCCTCACCTGACTCCCGGTAGGACTGGGGCTCTGTCCTCCCCGAGTTTGAGGCCTGGCTCCTCACACCAGGTCCCCCGTCTCGCTGAGACCCGGAAGTCAGAAAGTCAGGACAGGCGCAGTGTGCTCTTCTCACCCCAGGGTCTCCCAGGCCTGATGACAGGGGCGGGGATCTGTGGGGCTCCAGCAGTCCTCCCTGGGAGTCCCCTCAGTCCTCCCTCAGGGCCTTACCTTGTCTCCGGGTAGAGCTTCAGATTCTCTCCTCTCCCCACCTGAGGCCCCGCCCCTTATACAAGGTTCCCAGTCTCTCTGAGACCCGGATGTCAGGAAGTCAGACCATGCCTGTGGTTCTTATCCTACCTCAGGGTCGCCAAGGAGCGACAACACAGACAGCTTTCTTTGAGGCCAAGGGTCCCTTAGTCCCCCCTCAGGGACCTCAACTTGTTGCCTCCAAGACCTGGAATTCTCCTCTCTGCCCACCTGAGGCCCCGCCGCCTATAGCAGGTCCCCAGTCTCTCTGAGACTCGGATGTCAGGAAATGCGGCATGTGCTCATTCCACCCTATGTGCTTCCTGAGTCCACTCTGTGATCGGGTCCAGGATGCCCTCAGTCCTTCCTCAGGGTCCTCATCTTGAGCTCTGCAAGGTACAGGATGTCTCTGAGTTGACCTAAGCCTGGACCTTCACACCAAAGCCCTCACTGTCCTGTGACCACAGCTTCCAGAGCTGCTGGTCTCCTGGAGCAGCAGAATGGCTTCTACGAAGCACATGTGAGGTGCACACTGGGATATGAGAGCCCGAGGTGCTGGGGTTTCACCCTCCGGGGACTGGACAAACTCCACATCTGTCATCATTAGTTCCCCCACTAAGTAAGACACATGGCCTTGGAACCAGAGGGAACAGCGACCCCACCTACCACCACTCCCAGTGACCCACAGGGGAAGTTGTGCTTCTGGGCCCCCGTGTAGGTTCTGCAGTTCCTCAGCGGGGCTATCTAGCCGTTAGCCACTTCTAGCTATTTACATTTGACTTCGCATTATATTATGATAGAAGGCCAGGCCCTGGGACACACTAAGTACATTTGAGTTCATAATACCCAGCCTCATGTGGCTACTGGTCACTCTATTAATGGTGGTGACAGGACATGCTCTTCCCAAAGGAAGATGGTTCCCCCAGGAGATATCATAACAGTCCTACTGACCTATGAGCCATGGTTCCCACCTGGTGCTTTGCGCTCCTCTCTGCAGAGGTTCAGGCACCAGTTCCCCATCCACATGTCTCCTCTTCTCCTGCAGCCCTGCCGTGTGACAAAGGGAAAGGGAGAGAAGGATGGACCCAAGAAGGAGGGCAGAGGGAGAAGACTGTGTGGTCCTCATGTGATTCTGGCTTGAAGCTCAGCTCCAGACTCCTAGGCTGCATCCCTGCCCCTTGCTCCCAGGGCTCTCCACCCTCCTCAGTCCCTCTGGCTGTACCACACCCAGGATACCATCTGCAGTGCCCAGAATCCAAAATGTTCCTTCCTCTTCCACCCTGTCTACATCACAACTGTCCTGGAGGGCTCTAGGAAGAGAGTAGTTCTGCTTAAAACACCTACCTTCTGACTGTGCCACTGGGAAGAGCCCAGGTCCTCGCCCTTGGCCCTGAATGGACAGCACCTGGACAGATCTTCTATCTGTCAGGCAGGAGCGTTTCCTGCTTCTTGGGAGCTCAGGCTCATGGATGTGGCACCACCTGTATCCAAAATACCTTTCCATCCCACCACAGGCATCAAGACACATGGGATACTTTTTCCCTAAACGACATGCTATTGTCATTTAGATGAACCGTTTTTTTTTCTTTGTATTAAAATCGGTGAATTAATCATGTATTTATTTCCAACTTGTTGTAGGTTTACATAAGGATTCCCTGTTCCCTGCAGGCAGCTTCCAGGAAGCACATGGAGAAGAGATGTGAACAAGGACCTGGAGTCTCTCCCCTGACCTGCAGTGTACTCGGTGCTGGTGCTCAACAGACAGCAGCCGGTAGGTATAGCTTGTGATGAAGACAGTTCCCTTCACGGGTTGAAGAGTTTCTGAGGAAGCCAAAGATGCCTTGAATCTTCAACTGTTTCTAGTCACTACTCTCTACTGGCACTTTCTTTGTTTTTTTTTTCTACTGGCGCTTTCCAATGCAAGATCTGATTTCGTTTCCAAGGCTCTTGGGCATGTCAGGGAGGGGTCCCTCTCCCCCCACTCCCTCCAGTTCTCTTTCTGCTCTACCCTCTGCAGCGATGCCCGGCCACAGTCTCAGCAGAGTGAATATGTGGCCCTACCTCCTAATGCCAGGGAGTGTAGCCTGGGAGACTCGGCTGCCTCCACAGGATAGAACTTGTCTGAGCACCTGCACAGGTGCCCGTAGGCTTCCCAACAGCCATAACCTTCATGAGAGGCAGGTATCAGACAAGTGACAGTGGGAGAAAAAGGACAGTGGGAGTTTTCTTTACAAAATCCATCAAGGATAAGCACAATGCACCACTCTTCACCTTCAAGGAGCATTCTGCTGCTGCTGCTGCTGCTGCTGCTGCTGCTGCTGCTGCTGCTAAGTCGCTTCAGTTGTGTCCGACTCTGTGCAACCCCATAGACAGCAGCCCACCAGGCTCCCCCATCCCTGGGATTTTCCAGGCAAGAACACTGGAGTGAGTTGCCATTTCCTTCTCCAATGCATGAAAGTGTAAAGTGAAAGTGAAGCTGCTTAGTAGTATCTGACTCTCTGCGACCCCATGGACTGCAGCCTACCAGGCTCCTCCGTCCATGGGATTTTCCAGGCAAGAGTACTGGAGTGGGGTGCCATCGCCTTCTCCAGGAGGATTCTGAGGTGTTTGAATTCAAGTTCAGTGCAGCTTTTATTGTTGTAGCCACGCGTTCCGAGAAACAAACTTCCTCAGAAGGAGAATGCAGATAGTGGAGTGCAGCTTATTACACCGGTGGACCCAAGACAGAGTCTCCTCTTAGCCAAGGACCTCGACCAGTTTTTGTGAAAACCTTATATACCCTAAGTGTATAAGTTTCCCTGAAACTAGTCTGAACAAAGGAAAAAGAAAGATCCAAACAAAGTTAACCCATGATCATATGCCTTAAGCCTAGGTAGTTAACAGTGGACAATTATCAATAAGCCTCTGGTCATACCCCAGTAGGCATAATAGAATGTATGATACTATTCGGTTACACAGATAATTAAGGTATTCTTTTAGGGGATGGAGAGCCCTGGGGCTCTTCCTTCCGGGGTCCTGGTTTTCCAGTTGGTATGTCGTCTCCATAGATACGGGGCCTATAGCTCAAAGTCCACAGTCCGGCCCAAGATGGAGTCCTACTTTCAAGATAGAGCCTGTTCTGTTTCCTCCTTCACTATGGCTTTGGGGGTCTGACCACCTAGGAAAGCTGACCCATCAGTTGAAGTGTCCAATTGCCAGTTTCAAAGAAGAACCCAATTAAAATCTTACCAGAAGACTGAGGATGGTAATTGAAATGTCTTCAACTATACTCCCTGAGACTGAGTAGATTGTGTGCCAAACCAAATTCACTCATTTCCCATTTGGAAACTTTCAAGTGTATTTAGACGCAGGCAGAAAAACCAGGTGTCTACCTGTTCTGACCAAAGTGCACTTTGTTTTTGAGACACAGGAGATTTATTGGAGAGAAGATGAACTTCTAACATGCATGCCTGATTCCAGACTTTCCTCTCACTCATAAGACACCATC